TGGAATCATCGTCGCTAGATAGTTCAATTTGTCGAATTTTTCTAAACTGAGGCTTAGAGAAATCTGGTAATTTCCCTTTGCTTCCTCCAGTATTAGAAATCATGTTTGCTGCTGCAGGTTTAGCTGCAGAGTCTCCTGTTTTCTTATTCAGGCACGTTCTGCCCCAATGCCCAGCCTTGCCGCAAATGTAACATACACCTTTTTTCTGCACCTCTTGCATACTCAAAGCATTGCCCTCCTGTCTCTTTCTTGGATCAGGAGTGTTTCTTTGCTGTTGAGTCTGTCTAGAGCCAGACTGCTTCTGCTTGGATGTATTATCCACCTCCATGGCATTTGGATCCTTAGGAGCGGGTCCTATTGAGGATATTGACTGATAAATATCCATGTCTTTGCAAATGTCGAGTACATAATCACAGTACTCCAACCATTTCTTGGGCCACTGGGAACTTCCCCTTGCCGCAAGGACATTTTTAATCTCCTTATGCAATCTATCTCTGATTGCTGAGATTAATTCGCTATCAGTCAATTTTACGAGGTCTGCCAGACCTCTAAATTCCCCAATAATCTTGGCTGTGTCTGCGGCTGCAACCCTGTCATTTTTCCTAAGCATTCTTAGGAATTCTTGACGTGCGTCCTCTTCTTGATCCGTTGTGGTAAAGGCTCTCCGCATTTGATGTAGGAAATCTTCATATTTTCCTAGATCTTTGGAGTCTTTAACCATGCGATAATAATTACCGGCCACTACATGTGCTCAGCCTTCCAACAAAGCAAGTACACCAGTGATTTGATCTCTGTCCGAAGTCACTCTTTGGTGGGCGTACCATACAGCCAGTTTTTCAACAAACTGTTCAAAGGTTTGTTCCTTTGAGTTGTTTGCAAACCTTCCTGGTTGCGCAATTCTGAATCTCCTTTCTTCTTGTTCGTGCAACATCTGTGTCGTGGGTTGTTGTGCCATCTGTGCTACATGTTGATTTAATTGCTCTACGAGCGCATTATAATCGGTCCACAATTGTGCATTCGCATTTTCTACTGCAGCCAGGCGTACATCGGCAGCTGTTATTTCAGCCTGTTGGTCTGAAATTCTTCGTTCCGATTGCCCTATCTGCGTAAATACATCCTTGAAGACACGTTGAATTTCTAACTGAAGAGAAATGGTGTTGGATTCAAGTATTTCCTTCCAAGCTCTTCTGGTTACTTCGTTGTTTTCTCCAGGATAGTATCTGGCTATTACTCTCTCATTGATTTGAGGGTTTAATAGATACCAAGAGAGATCTGGTTCAATACCAGCCATTGGTATGGGTGTAGAAGATGTCGACATATTAATTGTGGGTATGCAGGTGGTACAATTTCGTAGTAAGTGTCCTTTGGTTTACTACTGACGTCCGATGGATTCAAAGATAAAAACTTCAGAGCGTGTTATTCCAAATAACACTGTCTCTGCCCAACTCCGTGTGATCACTCTCCCTCAATATCTCCTTTACTAGTCTTCCAAGGTTTCTATACCTTGCGTCACCGAACTTGTCCCTGACTTGATTTATGAACTGTACAAGTAACCTCCTGGTTACCGGTCCGTATACGTCTGCGCCTCGATAATTGATATTAGATAGGATTCCACCTATCCACCTTATCAAGAATCGAATTTGTTCTTGCTGCATCGTACTCAAAAGTGAGTAGCCTGGCTTATGCTGTAAACCTTGCAGGTCGCAATGGATGCGGTTAAGGTGTTGCTTGTTGACGAATGTTACAGTCTGGAGGGGGGTTCCTTTTCTTTTCCGAACTATTCGTCATCGACCCTGTACTATACTACTGATCCCATCACTTGATGCTTCATCACCATCAAGCGTTTCACATCTATCATCTGTTACTTGTCTCCTGTCTTACTTACATCGCGTTTCATCTCCATTGTGTTTCACCTTCATCACTGATACAACCCAGTGAAACCTGTTTCATGTAC